GATTAATCTAGCTTTCGCAATTCGGCAAATGTCATTCAAAACTGACTCTAATACAAAAATGAAAAATGCATAGCCAGTTCAATCCCTAACAGGTACCTTCCCCATCAGTAGTACTAAGCATTCTCCTACGTCAACAGTAATTATCATTCTAAGGGTTTATGTAATGAAATTCGGCAGGGCTGCATGAGATTATAGCTCGAATTGCGAGTATGGAAACATTAAATTATTTTGATTGAGTATGTAGTACTCAATTATTTTTGAGTGGAAGTACTTATTTGATTGAGTATTAGCAAAACTTACCTTATTCTCAGCTAAGATTATCTCGGTCAAATTCCACGAGTTTCTACATAGTGCACCTGGGGCCATACTTTCAAAAAAAGTTAAGAGATGGTAAGTTCATCAGCCAATCTTAGACGGCCTTTCAGGCAAAATCCACCAATCATAGACAAGAAATTAGTGCGTAAGCTCTTACGTTCACTTAGCAAATTTTGAAAGTATTGCCCATGATCCCTTGCCATGATCGTTGGCAATGAGGTTCTTGTCACTTCAGGTTCGGCGTGTGCGTTGCGCAGCAATTACACACACTAGAGAAGTAGATTAAATATTTATAATAAAATAAAGCAAATAATATACAATTTTATTGTTGTTATTTATTATTAATAAATACCTAATAAAAATAATAATGAGAAATATTGAAATCGTCAAATAAACCAAAAAGTAGGCATTCTGCATTATGCATAGATCCAGCAATCACTAATTCAACTGAGTGCGACAATTTTGTAGAGAAGTTAGTCAATCTCACTTGAGTTGCCAAATATCACAATTCTCAATTCGCCTTTCTCTTAAAGAAAAAGTTATCTCCGAAACTGACTATAGAGACAAATTCATTTTAAATTTGCGTTATTTACTCGAAACGCGTTAATGCATGGGCCATTGCTTGCATTAATATAATAATATGGTCAGTGGATGATGTCCAGCGACAGCAAAAACCATTTACCCAGATATTTCACTGTGAATTTACCTTCGATAAAACAATCATTCTTAAGGCTTTTCGCGAGATATTGGATGTAGAGACGTAGTCTTCAACATTATAAATTAACGTCATTCATGAAAAATAATTTGAATATTTCTCGTGCGTGTCTCTTAACCTAATAAATTTACACGAAAAACATGGTTTGTAACGAGAGAGTAAATTTTAGAAACCATGCACATGAAATTGTCATATTACCATTGTCATATTGAATTATTTGATTAATTTATTTAAAATTCCTATTCTTAGCTAATAATTGTAGAAAGTATTTGGAGGGTAGCCTTTTTACAAATATTTTGCAAATTAATGCATGCAACTCAAGTTGCATGCAAATCTACCGCATCTGACATAGATGCGGTAGATAACCAACACAATGGAGTTGCTAAGTCATAAAATTCCCATCGTATCGCATTATTCAGTGTAATTAAAAAATTATGTAATATTATTACATAACTGTATGGTAACATCGCATTAACCGAGAACACTCATTAACATCGCAGATCAGTCAAGCAAGTCGGCAAACAGATAAAGATTCAATCAAAATTTGCCCAGAAGCGCTCAGTTTGACGTGCCAGTTACATTTTTTAATATGAACCCTTAATATTTTCTATATACACCCGCACTAATTACAAGAACAAAATATTGAAAACCCCCAATTCAACAAGTCGTAAGATAAAAGTTGGTGATTTCCAATGTTTCCAAACATCTGTTAACATATTTTTCTTCATTTTAATTTTTAAGTATATCATCTTGCGGAGAAAGAAAGCTTCAATAGATAGCCAGGCAAAATGTGTTATCACGCGAACTGGACTGTTTGGTCAGCCTAACCCATCGTGAAGAGCTAACGTTAGTTTTGCACAAATTCAGTAGACTATGTCATACCTGCCAACCATTGCTCTCATGTGAAGGCATTGATGAATTACATAAATAGGTTGTAAATGTTGTTTATTTAATAAAGATTCGATATTCAAATCCCAATGAATAAGTTACACCAGAGACTTTGCACATTGAGAGGCGATTTGGCACTTGGGTACATAGACTTGCAAATTGCGAGACGCATAGGACTGTCACAACGTGGAGTATTGTCTGTCATCGTAATTTACGCAGACATCTGATAAACTGTAGAGGTGTGACGCACAACATTTGGCCTGCGACATGATACTGATATCGTAATACTTGCTACATTTGGAAGGCAATTTTATTACAGAAATTAGTAACGTCGCTAATTTTTTATTGAAACAGTTTCTTTCATTCAAAAAGAGTTCGAAATCAATGGACGTAAGTTTGTTTGTGGTCAGCGTAACCGGTATGGTCGTAAGTTAGCGAAGACAGCATATTGAGTGCATGTAGTCTTCGGTACCAACTAACGTATTTCTCAAAATAAATAATGGCAAGACATTAAACTGGTATAGCATTTTCATAAGCAACACCTGGTTTACCATGTGTCGGTTGAATCCATTTAAATATTATTTTACTGCGCTCACGTTTTGCGCGGTATTCCTCAGGCACACGTTTTGCCCGAGTCAGTATTTAGTATGGAAAATATACTCAACAATCGTCAATCAAGCTTAGCCCACATCTGTTAATAGGTTTTCATCATGATATCTTCGACTCTTATGTGAGCCATTCGCACTCCGAATCCGACAATCTCCATGCAGGATCGTCTACCCTGAGCGAGCCAAGTTATGAACATATCTAATCCATAAAGTATGTGTCTTTTTAATTGTTTTTAATTAAAAAATTAACGCCCAAATTTGTTATTTATGAATTTTCCATGTAAGCACCTTCACACGATGCAAATATTTCATGTAAAACAGTGATGTGACCGAATTTGGCGCATGAAGGAGCGAAGAGAAGTGCAATCGTAGTCGGTGTAGGTCTATTACGAACTGAGGTACGTTGTACATTGGTTACAACAAAGACTATTCCTGTTGCCACACAGGTAACCTAAACGCTCCTTAGAGAAATACCACACACAGTTTCTTCCCAATTTAAGAGGATATAATGAAAGTAGCTGTAGTATAAATAAAAAGTCCCAAATGGGGATCACAGGCAATAGGGTAATGAAAAATACCAATTCATTTTGGGCATTTTTCTTTTTATAATTTTTAAACTTCTAACGTGAATACGTGATAATAGTGCTTTTTTCCTAATGCCAATTGCAAATTCATTTGTTTATAACCACGAAAAAAGTACAAGATAAATTAGATTACATGAAAGAACATTGCTCATTTCAAACTAAATATATGAAAATAATAACTACCCTCCGAATGAATGGAATTTCATTGATGCCGTTCGTGGAAGCATTCAACGTGTAGCCCAACGTTGCACTTGGAACATTCCTTTCGGACATTTATCTTGCAAACAGCGCACTTCCGTTGTCTGTCATCCATCATCTGTTCGCTGCAAAACGTCGCCCTGAATTACTTCTTCGAACGTCCAACACACGCCGCTTTGATTGCTCACTGAACGATCTGACAAAGATGATACTTGCATATACTGTACAGTATACCCGTAGCACTGTTCTCCTCTCGAATTCCTGCAAGGGCATTTGTCCGTTTGTCTTGCAAAACAGTATGTGCATTTATGACTGTCATGTCAAGAATGTTCATGAAAAGGGGAAAATAATATTTCTTTCCACGAACTCTGATCTTGTATTTATTGATGAGCCAGTCCATTTTATCCACACCACTCACGTGCTTGTTGTAATATAGGCATTAGGCGATGCACTTTGGTTGTTCTTATTTAACGAGACCTGACCCTTCTTCTGCTTCCTCCTTCTTTTCACTTTTTCAGTCGGCTCTACACCCTGATGATTTGACAACATCTTGGCATCGTTTTCTTTCCATACAACAGAACAAATGTTATTGCTACTGTCACAACTGCAGTCAAATGCCCCCATTTTCCTTTTTAAGGCTTTTACTCTTTGTTCAGATGCAAGAGGGCACTTGTTGGTATGCTTGAGCCTCACTGTACCAGAAGCGGACACATCTTGTTCAGCTAGTAATTTCATGAGCTCGAAACTTATGAAAAAATTTCAAGGAATAATACATGATCCGATGGCATACTAGCCTTTGCAACTTTATTAAGGAGAACTGCTGCTCATAGTCCACTGACAGATGATGAATCTTCTTGCTTGCCTTCATAAAGATCAAAACCGAAGCCATATTCGGTTTAGTTGAACTATTCATCACCCAGTTTTTGAAAAAGAATCCAGTAAGTTTCCCTCTGATGAACTGCTTCAGGAAATGGTGTCCATAACATTGAAATATTTGCTCATCAATGCTCAGATATTTAGAAAAAATAGCAATTATCAAGAAGCGTTGGTTCATTATTTCAATTAGAGGAGCTATCTAGTAGAATGAATTTGGCTTGCACCAATTCTCAGTGTTCAGTTGTCATTCAAAAGAAGGTTTTGCTTCAGTTCTAGGTACTGGTTCCGGCTGAAACACAGTCTAACGAAAGTCATATCAATGTCTTCATCTTCACACCACTACATCTTTTCTTGAAGCAGACTGTCATAGCCCGTTTTCAAGAAGAATCCAACCAAAATCCGTCAGACAAAAGGAATCCATTGCGATTGGTTTGAGCAGCATTACGAAATTCTTACTAAAATTACAATTTGCCGCATTACTAACAGCATAATTAAGACTTACCGTAATATTTTTAGAAGAACATAGACTATTTTATCACTTACTATGGTATTTTGAATCAGACAGGTTTTTAATTGAGAAAAAGTACATATCAAAAATTGATAACTCTGTCGCATCACAAATTAGGTCAATTCTTTCAGAAAATTGGATATATATGTTTTTTTACAGGAAAAGATACATTTCTAACTGATCTCAACTGATGTCTACAATCTTTATGTATATTGTACTTCATAGAACAATAACATGTTCTTAGTCAATAGTTAATGAATGATATCAACAAAAACAAACGATCCCCAAAAGGGGATCATGGACGCAAATGGGTTATAAATGCAGGAGAACCTATCGAAAAATTATCCCCCTGGCGTGTTCAGCACAGAAAGTATTAAATGAGCGTATTTACTTGAGCTAAAGAAAAATATTTTTGAAATCCGGAGTTGCTTGGTTCTATTTAGAAGGAGCGAACTTCATGATTGGAAAATGTGTCCGTCGTTATCAAGTCTACGACTTGCATATACCTGCAAACCATGTGGAATGATGTGGCCCAGGCCTAATCCATGATCTGTCGTCTCGGTATTGTGACGCACTTCGAAAGAAGTTGATGCTGGTTTCGATTTTCATCTGTAAACGGAATAAAGCTTCTTGTCTCGCCTCGTTTTGAATAAACAAGAGTAACATACACGGGAGTTTTTTTAATTAAGATCAATACCAGCGTCAGGTTATCAGAACGAAATATGTTCTCAGTGCCACAATAAAGTGAGTCTGTTAGAGGAAGGAAGACTGGAGCTGCCGATTGTTGCAGTTGAAGAACAACCGAATACCATGCTCGGAAAAAACCTTCATAAAATAAAAAATGAAAATCGACATCAAACAAAATTTCTAATTATTATGTAATTCATCATATCAAAAAGATTTTCTGCGAAACATTTCTACGAAAAGTGGCAAAATTTAATTTGGTCATAAATAATTTTATGCCTCCTCATAAGGTGCTTGCTCTACAGAAAAAATTTAATTATCCATATTATTATTACATCATTATAATCATTATACATAACATTATAATCATATTATTACATTATAACACCATTCACCCTAAGCCGTAATACGTTGCACGGTGACTGTAGTACTTGACCTCTTCTGTGTTTCTAAGCCATCTCGAAAGTCTCCAATGTTCATCATATTGTGAAATCGCTTCCAACGCGCCTTCACGTGGTTCTGCAGTCATCCGGGCCCCTATGACCTCACTGTTGATTGAAGGAATTGATTATATTTTAAAAAAGTTCAAGAAGTGTTACGAAGCCCTCGTGGCAAATGACGCCACATATTCTATTCTTACAGTATAGTACAGTGCAGTGCAGTGCTTTTTCACTACCCAGATCCAGCAAAACCAACCCCAAAGTGCATGTCACTAGGAACAAGATGGTTTTTCCTGCTTTAGGATACTATTTTGACCATTCAATTTGCCTAATTAAATGTACAGTCACAACATACCAGTATTTTCCGTTCCCTCTGTCCTCTTTTCCGCTTCATTCCCCATCATCATTTCTCGAACTACTCATTGATCAGTAACAAAACCCAAGACCCCTGATTCGCAGTATATAACTAAAAAAAATCCACCCTGGACTTTCCACTGGTCGACCGTAAATATTTCAAGCAAGTTTCCTCAATCTCGACGCTCCGCTCATTACTCAACAACGTTGCTACCTTATATAGCACTGTTTGTGGCGATACCTCAGCTATGAACAAACTGTCCTAGAAAATAAATAAAACTCTGCAGCGCATGCAATTTACAGCGCATTATCCCTCCAGACTTTTTATCAAAATCGTATCAATAACACACTTGCAAAACTAGATACGCACACATTACAAGACCTGAACAAAATTTAAGACTGTACTCTCACACACACTATCACAAGTGACATTACCATATCACAGCGAATTCTCAACGACGGCTTATCAATGTTTAACACAAGAATCATGTTCTCTTCTCATGTTTAACAACGGTAAACTGCGAACAGCAGAAACGCAGTGTTGCACACAACCTCATGCATCTGTTACAAAATTAAATCACCCCACCCGCCTATGCACCACCGCCACGCTGACTTAAAGTGTGATCGCATCCCATAACCTCAATCTCATCTCCTCATAATGCAACAATACCCACAAACAAGGTCTAAATTGATATTGTAAGGGATCGCGATAGAATCTTTACTTGCAATAACTTGCCGTATGATCATGAAGACTGAGTCGGTGGATTTATGTGACCCAAACGACATAAAAACCAAGAACTCTTGCCGCCAATTGCTGATACCGTTTTTAATAAGAGAAAAGAGTATTAACCCAGTAAAATTTTGTAGTCAGCTTTCGGACCCCTAACGAATGCAACTCTGGCCTTAGAGGTGAATCAGGCTTGAATCGGCCACCTTATTATATTCGGCTGTTATTTAGGAACTTTTTGGGGGGAATCGATAGCCCGATGGGCCGAATATAACCGAAAAGAGCAGCTGGCAAGCTGCTTCATGATAGCCTGATCAGCTTCTGATATTAGAGCGAACCATGACCATTTCCCGCTCATGAAATAGCGTGCACACGTACGTTTGTTAACACATGAGATAGATAAAGATGAGAATTGACTTGGTATTTAGATACTAATTGCATCACGTTTACAATATTTTTTTACAAAAAGATGTCTTCAATTGTATTATCCTATATTTGTAAACCAGAGGCTGCTGAGGACATGGAAACATGATTAAAGAGGAGAAACACCCTTGATAAAGAGTAAGCGACAGTAAAAAATCAATGTCTGCAGCTCTATGAGGTAATTTCACATCATTATCATAACATTAGTAACTGATATGCAAGCTGTTAATTGGCAGAACCAGCAATAGGTGAGTGTCCGTTTTTCCGTCTTGGCCTTCAAGTTGTATGAAAGGTTCAGATCAATATTATTTTGGGATTGAACTGCATTATATTGTGATACTTGTGATACCAGTGCATTGCCTGCTAACAAGCACTGTACAATGCTTCTTCGGCTAAACAAAGGTCTGCAAAATATGAATATTTTCAGGTCAACGTGATATTGTAGTGTGTACAATGGCTAACTTTGCCCAGGCACTTCGCTACTTTTTGAACAAATCAAAATAAATTTTATTCAATGGTTCAAACGACATCGATAGCAGAACCTAGTCAAATTTTTACTGTACGTTTTTTCATAGAGTTACTTTATTGTATTCGTAGCGCAAAATTTGTTGCAATACACGCTCAAAGTTTAAATTTTATCCCCGGTTCAGGGTAATGCAGTGGGAGGGCACAGACGCTGACGTTGCTGGTGGCAATGCTTAAGTGTTTTTTTTTTTCGTTGATCATGTGTCGCTGCCCATTTGCTCATTTCAATCGTGTAATCGTGCTATGAAAAATAAAGTATGTGAAAGTTTAAAGGCTCAACATGTTAATTCTGAACATTGTTAGAAAAAATTCTTATGATTACAGAGCAGTGTGCAAAGCTTCAGCAAGTAAGTTCTTCGCGAAATCCGACACCAATTTGGCGGCTTTCAACCGACGATTCAAGAAGACACAGTTGAGTTTTCAAGATTTGACAGCAATGGAAATTTTGTAACTTGAGGTATATGTCGGCATGAGCGTGTTATTTTAGCTGCTCGTGTTCGTATGCTTTAGGTTCTAAATTTCTAATTCATCAAGATAGCTAGATTGAATTGTGAAACTAAAAATCGAGCATTGGCAACAGTCTGCGTAGAAGTGTAGTTCGGTTCACCGTGCAGTCTTCACCACCGAGCCGTTGCTAGGAAATTTATGCTTTTAAACTAGGATGCCGAGTGTATTAGTAAGTACGTATGTAACAGCTTTGATTGTTCCAATGAATAAGTGTTTTTTTTTCATTGTAACATCATGTTTGTTACCAGAGTGAAATGAGGTGTCGCTGTGAATATGGTTATTTTCGAAGAATTAGAAATTATTAGGAGATAAATTTCTTAAATTGACATTGAGTATAGCAATGTTAGAATGGCAACTTCGATTTCCACGTTAGTAATAGTTCTAAACTGTTCTATTCTTCATTCAGAATACAAACGAGAAAAAACATTCGAGTGCAAAATAAAATGAAATAAATATGACTGAAAATCTCAAATTACAATTGTAAAATAAAACTATTACTATTACCTACTTGTCACAAGCTCTCGAAGGCATTGTATACCTTCATTAATACCATAGTTGGAAATGTTCAGAAAATATCAGATGTTTTATTGTAAGCAATCAGGGCGAATTAAATATTCTTATCAGTGACACTTTCATGAGTTATCATTATTTGCTATTGGTATAATAGCACATATTTTGGTAATGCAATATATTTAATAATAGCAATATAGAATATTGGTAATGGTCGAATTATATACGATTACGATGTTACTGAATACTGACTACAATTATTATTATTTTGGCGTACGTCAATTTTTTTATGTAGCGTATTCCGTTTCATTGAGTTTTACTAATGATTATCCATTCGTCTTTTTACAGTGAAAGCCTCCGCTTGAAAAATGAACTATATAGTTGTATAGCAAAGTTCTTAGAACATTTACAGTTGTGCGCTCCTGTATATGCTGAACTGTACAGTGTACACTCATGTTTTTGGACACGTTCTTTTATTTATATCAGGAATATGAATTACTTCTATGTGTAAAATAAAAACGCTCATATGTATTTGTTTTCTATGCGATAGTTGGCAGATTTTGATTTTGCAATGAAGGTCCCCACACAATTTATGGGTAGGGAGAATACATACCAGTAGGGAGACAGAGGGCAGGCCATGACGTACAGTGTGGTGTGCGGGGTGATGGCAGTGATGGTGTACTGCATCACACCTTCGTAGTGGTCAAACGCGTGGTCTGGGTACGCGTGTAGACACTGTAGACACATTAATTTGTTAATAAGAATTTAAAAGCAAAGAATAGTCCACAAAAATTCATATCTTTATAGAAGACGTTTCGGAGGCCAGCTCCATCGTCAGCTCGTAGAATGTAGAATCTATGTATATTCTAGATTCTAGGAACTGACGATGGAGCTGGTCTCCGAAACGTTTTCTATAAAGATATGAATTTTTGTTGACTATTCTTTGCTTTTAAAATTTTAGTCAACTTGCGATTTAAGCAAATAAGTGACATTAATACTTTGTTAATAAGATATTAATACACATCAAAAGTAAATAATATCGTATTGCGATAGTAACAAGCCCAGAAATTGAAGTTATGCATGAATGATCCAATTTATTCGCCATTCAAGAAAAATATATTCATTCGTTAGCCCACCAGCGTATTCATCCCATTCATCCCACTATTCATTAAGCAACTATCAAAATAGGCAAAATGTTTAATTCCAAGTCTAATTGCACTTATTAAATTGTCAAGCTCTCAATCATTCTCATAATCGACGTTGAAAAAAAGAATGTTCTTTAAGCCATACTGTTAGTTTCGAAGAATAATAATATCTTTCTATGCTCATTTAATGTTGAATTGATCACCAACCTTAGCCAGTAGGACGAGGGACGATCTGGTATCACTGATCGTGTAGGCCTCTAAAGATATTAGGACTGGACCTTGGCGCTGGTCGTTTATGTCGAATATTCAAATAAATTAGAATCATCACAGAGGCCAATAAAGAAGAATATCTCATTTGCGCTTCTTAATAAGCGCAATTTCAAATACTAATCAATTTGCGACATGTATAAAAATTTTTTGGTTTGTTAATTAATTTTTAAGTTTTCAAACCTAATAATATTCAGAAATGAGTAGTGAATTGAAGATAGGCGAACAAAAAGTGTGTTGCTTACAATGGGTCATACAACTGTACTATGAAGATCTTTGATTTCCTCAACTGTGAAAGTCCCTACCATGTGTATACATACGGTTACACATGTGTATGTAAAGTAATATATGTGTTCATTCATTTACACGATACTTGAATGAAATTAATATAAAATAGAAATGGGGGATATTTTAATATTATTTAAGAATCGGTGAAACATTCGTGAAAATAAAAAGCAACTAACTGTTTGCATCGAGTTTGTTCGTGGAAAGCTAATCTGTTATATAATTAAATATTGTAATAAAATGAGCGGCTTTTATTTGCACTGTGAGTGATGGATAACGTACAATAAATGAAAATCGTCTGCGGAAGAAAATGCTTAATCATTTTCTTTCATCATTTAATAGCTACCAAGTGTTCCGGAAAGGTTTCCACGAGGCAGGGGTTGAATCCGTCTTCCATCGAAATGACTTTCGCACGTTTAAGTTCGCTCGCGATATATTCTGCATAGACGTCAACGTGGAGTCTGCAACATGTAAAATTTACTAATGACTTGTAAACGGTGTATTTTTTTCTTACACAGCAGAAAAAATTGATTATAATGAATATAGTAATAATTGGAACTGTTCATTGCTGTTACTTTAAGAAATATGGATTGAAATTAGTTGATGGTTTCCAGAGCTGGGCAGCGCTACTTTGAAATGTAGCGCCGCTACCGCTACCGCTACATGCTCTATAGCGGGCGCTACCGCTACCGCTACATTGCCTTAAATGTAGAGCCGCTACCGCTACCGCTACTGAAAATGTAGCGGCCGCTAGTAGCGGCCGCTACATGTAGCGCGCTACTGCTCACCTCTGATGGTTTCTCTGTCCAGAAGGTTAAAAAATCATAAAAAAAGCTCTTTAGTTGTTATCTTATATATTTAGTATACTACGGTAAACTGAGATTTGTGGTGTACATTTCGGGACATTAAATTCAAGAACGCTGCCTACTTTATATATAGTGGGAATTCACAAAATAAACATGTGTGTTGCATATTTACTTAGATTATTCCTGAAATGTGGTAATTCAGAGCTGAAAGTTCACACTCCTTCACGCAAAACTATTGCCGTATATGTTGTAATCTAATATATTAATCAAGTTTTGATGCGTAGTTATTTGAATCGAGAAACTCGAAAGTTAAAAATGGCTCACAAGTGTAGATTTTGAAGCTTCGCTTCCGGGTCGTGATTGTAGATCATATTTGAGAATATGAGAGCCTGACTCCATCCATTGATGTGGGCTCCAGACGAACCAGAGTGGAAACATCGGGACACTTCTGGTACCAGGGCGTGCCGTCCCCGTCTCAGGGACACTGCTTGTAGTCGCCAGTCCCAATCCCAGGACGCATCCTGTTAAAATAAGTAGACTGAATTTTACTGTCATTCATTGGAGATTAAACTTTCTAACATTTATTTTTGTCAAGGATCAATGATTTAAATTTAACGTCAAACGTTATTTTCTTCTTTTCGTTTGTAAAAAATTGATATATTTATTACACGAAAAACTTTCACTTATATTCACTAACCATTATTTATGTCATTACATCCCATAGATAAAGCCTCAGTGCCTTTCGTGACCGGTCAATGAATGATTAGTAATATTCCTACCTGCTTCTGAAACGAGGAGCTGTTATATGAATTCTACTCTGCTCACCGAATTATCTACCCAAAAGTGAAGGATTTCTTGAGCGTAATCTCTGGTAACCATCCAGCCGAACTGAGGGAACATTTGTGAACGTCTGACACGCGTCAGGTCAGCAGCGACCGTTGGGAAGCTGTTGAGGGAGAAGCTGTTCACGACGTAGAGCGTGGCATCAGCATCAAGCAGCCACGCCGTTTGGTGGAAGTAGCTGCAAAGGAAAAAGAAACAAAATCACAGTGTGGTGTCAACATCCACCAGTCACGACTTTGATGAAACTAGCTTTAGAAAGGTCAAAAAGCCTGCCGTCTAATGAATTAGATGTTAATCGACTGTTGCTTCGGCATATAGCAGTCATGACGACTGTAGAAGGTACAGGGTGATACACGGGAAATTCTTTATTTGAAAGCTCATAAAATTTCCATAACTTAGTTTTAAAGATAATATCGGACAAATGACGGCTTCCATTGTCAATGCAATGATATAAATTATTATGGTATAATCGATTTCAGAAGTTCCTTTCAACTCGCTGAAACATATTGACGAGCATGTTGGCGATGGCTTGGCTTATGTTGTTCTTCAAATGAGGTAGGGTCTTTGAACAGTCATTGCAAATATTCGATTCAAGACAACCTTGTAAAAAAATCAAATGTAACCAAATACCAAATCGGGGGACTGGGCAGGCCAAAAACGGTAAATTCAAGGAGATGAGGGGCTCTACAAAATGTTGTCTCAAAAGGTGTCGTGAATGCACAAAACACCTTTCTATCTTTACGTTTTCGGGTGCTGTGGCAGTCCGCTGACTCCACTTGCCCTTAATGTGTTCACTACCGTAACCGTCGATTTCCAATGAAGAACCCGACCTGAAGGACGAATATGGAACCGAATACGAATGCTCGTTGATTAGCGATAAATGGAACGGCCATTAGAAACGTACTCTCGACAGCTCACTTGTCCAACTGACTGGGCGGGACACAAAACTTTATGACCTTGCCTATCACAAAACTTCATAATCAGGCTGCTTGGTATCACGGCATTCATATTATCGAACGCCTCAATTCGATATTTTGTACATTAAAGTCGCAGCATTCAAAGGAAATCCGCCGTTCCTGGCAATGCACCTACGCTCATTTGAGCGCGCAGAATTGTAATTTGGGCGGGAGAGTAGCCGTAGGCCACAGATATTACTCTTAAATAAGCCCTGGAGCCAACGCCCAGCCTCACCATGCATTAACCTTTCTCAGCCTCAGAGCTAGAAGACGCAGACTACGCTTAAACTCCGTAATCCAGACATGCGACATATTGCCGGAAGATAATAGCGCCGTAGGTAATGGCAATGTTTAAGGCAATGTTTAAGCATGCCTTCAGGCAATGTTTAAGCATGCTCGCTTATAAGCAGGCATTTCCTCGTCAGGCTGTACCTACTCCGACCTAACCTCTTCTGGCCTAACCTATTCTCGCATTTTCAGCTCACAACCTTCTTATGCTAATTACTGCTCTACCAGCACACTTGGACCGCCCTCTAACTTCCTGCAGCCAATGAGGTTAGGTTAGATTCGCTCAGGTTTGTTTTGGGTGGCAAAATGGTGCAACTTGTGTAGGTTAAGCCTGAAGAGGTTGTTAGGCCGTAAGAGGTTTGGCCAGATGCAGTATGGTCATGCTTACCTGGTTTTGAGCACTTGACTTCATAGGCTGTTACGCCCTCTAGCGTTCTTACCTACGGAAAGAAAAATGAACTAAGTGTGAAGTTTGGCAAATTTGCCTCCGGCATACGCATCGTTTGGGCTCTTGTTCGGCAACGTGGAGAGCCTGTGCCGAATTTTGATATTCTTTTTGTGCCTTTCTCCATGCCAATTTCAATGAATACGCGCATTCAGTGGACGATCGAGGTTTTACGAGTGTGAATTGTTTGTGAGAATATCCAAGGTTATTATTGTCTCTTCCTGAAAATGTCATTTATATACGAAAGACCGATGGCCCAAAAGGCTGCTTCCCCAAGCCAGCGGCACAGCACAGAAGGTCTGATATGTAAACATTCTTTGATTGATCACTTCAATTATTTTAAATCAAGTATGTAAATTGACCATGCAGCATCGATTCAAGCGTTAATTATCGCAAGCTGGAGTTTTATTATGCCCGGGGCTAGTAGTGTGCAGACTACTCTAAATAGAACTCTTGTGGCGTGTGTCTTTTTTATTCCTGCGACTGATCAGTCTAATCTTCATGAATTGATTTTAGCATCTCAGTCATGCATCTCGTCGTCGTCACTGAAGACGTCGACGACGTCGTTGCTGGTCCCGATACGGCTGAGCTGTTGGCGGCGAGCAAGAGTCGCGCGCCGCTGACGAAGGCACAGTGGGAGGAACAACAGAGCAAACTGTGCCGCGTGCTGGACCCTGACACTGGCAGGATGAGGCTGATCCGCGGCTCCGGGGAGGTGGTGGACGAGTGCGTGTCGCGGCGTCGCCATCAACAAGCAGGCGACGGCAACGCCTTTCAGCAAGGCCTCGCCGCCAAGCTTGCGTCCGGTGCTCAGGAACGGCAAGATAATCAGCAATAATAGAGCTGCGTCGCCTGTAATAAGCAGGCGACGGTGATCCATTTCTGCAGGCGACTCGTGGCAACGACCACGCATTCTTGCAGGCGACGCGTGGCAACGGCCACGCATTCCTGCAGGCAACGCGTGGCAACGGCCACGCATTCCTGCAGGCGACGCGTGCCAACGGCCACGCATTCCTGCAGGCGACGCGTGGCAACGGCCACGCATTCCTGCAGGCAACGCGTGGCAACGGCCACGCATTCCTGAGGCGACGCGTGCCAACGGCCACGCATTCCTGCAGGCGACGCGTGCCAACGGCCACGCATTCCTGCAGGCGACGCGTGCCAACGGCCACGCATTCCTGCAGGCGACGCGTGCCAACGGCGACGACTAGGTCAACTGCCAGGTTCACGAAAAAGAATTCTCTAACATCCACTCCGATGAGTTATTTGTTCAAGTTTGAATAGACTGCAGCATGGTATTCACATTATATTTGTCAACACAAAATAGGTTACCCGAGTTAACCGTTACTGTTAGCGATATTCGAGTTCGTCTGGGGGCGCAACCCGCTCATATGGTATGGTAGCTCGTCTGGTCGCTTATTACCAAGTTATATCTTCTTGTGTGGTAGTTTCCATAAATCCTTATAATGTCTATATTGAAGGTTAAACATTATTCCATATATTATCATATTTACCTATGACTTAGAACCGATTGTTATAACTTTTTTATATCATAAACATTCTTTATGATCGACGAGCAAGCGGAAGCAGTTCCATGCCCTGTGGGTTACATTTGTTGATAGTGATGTTTATCTTCGTGCCTACATTCCGTTTGTATGTTGATGATCTTTGGGACTACCTTGCACTCAGCCTTGATTGTTTAATTGCCCTAAGCACAATTTTAAACGTATTCTTAGTTTACCGATCCGACTTTATTTCTGTAAAGGTTTGTATGGTAAAACCTAGTCAGACTTGACCCTAACTGGTGTGGTCGCAAACGTGCAGCTGGCAACTAGCGCTGTATCAGTCGTGCATCTGGCAACGAATGTTTTTCCATCCCTCTCAGTCATCGCAAGAAAATCCTAAATTGAAATAATTATATATCTAGTATTTTTTCATATTATACAGTTTGTTTTTCTGCTAAAAAATAGAAGCGGATGAGGCATAAGAATTAGCTGCATGATATGTATATAGGAACCCGCTTCTGTTTGTTCATTTTGGGACATGCAAGGTGGCCCAGTGGGTAAAGTTCAGGAGAACCAAGATTGAAGCAGAGAGGCGCGGGTTCGATCCCAGCTCTGTGCGCCAGTTTCTGGTCAGTATTGACGAGGAGGCCGGGCGGTTAAGCACAGCAGAATTGTAGCAGTGAGTTGTGAGTTCGAGACCGCAACAAGCTGGGAATGTTCTGCGATGTTATGAATCGGCGACAGGCCTACGGCCTACTAAACGCTGAAACCGCTATTATTATTATTATTATTATATATTCTATGTTTATGTAGAATCGTAGTAGAAAAGCTATTCGAAATAGAAAAACAATGGAATAAAGTCCACGCTCATCTTTCTAGAGCAGAATTTCCCAAAGTGGGCGGTCCCGCCTCCCTGGGGGCGGCGGAAAGATCTAGGGGCGGTGAGGAAGAAGAGGGCGGTAGGGGGCCGGCAGTCCGAAGACGGAGTCAGAAGTTCGAACGTTTGTTGACGATTTGTGCACAACACGTACAGCTCATGGCTCCCAGCAATAGGTTTTACACCCAGATCTGATTTTTTACCCTCTCCCGGGTTTCTGGTGTACATTTTTTGAAATATTTAAATTATGAGATTTTGTGTTTCTGTGGGGGGCGCTTTTTGAACATCATGTATCTGTGGGGAGCGCTAGGAATTCACTAGGGAGCCAAGGGGGTGCCAGGCTGCAAAAGTTAGGGAACCACTGTTCTCTAAACGCCTCAAAGACCGGAAGTTAATAAATCCATGCGAATCTCCACCTAGGGCCATGTTAATTACAATGAGTATAGTTAACTAGTATGTAATCTAGTCCAGTAACCTATCAGTAGCCTCTGTAGGATTGTCAAGAAGTCATATTGTTATTGCGATTATTAAATACTTCTGAATTACTATATGAGGAGTCAGCCAGTATGTAAACTAGGCCAGTAACCTATCAATATCCTCTGTCGGATTGTCAAGAAGTCATCTTATTATTGCTCTAATTAATTACTTCGAATTACTATGAGAAATCAGCCCGTATGTAAACTAGGCCAGAAACCTATCAATAGCTTCTGTCGGTTTCTCAAAAATTCATATTGTTATTGCAATTATTAAATGCTTCGAATTACTATGAGTAGTCAGCCGGCATGTAAACTAGCCCAGTAATCTATCCGTAGCCTCTGTCGGATTCTCAAGAAGTCATCTTGCTTTTGCTATTATTAAATATCTTGAATCCGTTAGAATCATAAGTATAGTCAGGCAGATGTAACTGCTTTGACGGTTCATGATAACCTGGTCCTATTCATTGTACTTTACGCTGGCGCTCTAATTTATTAAATCGGCTAGGATCACGATATAGACCGATGAGTTGTTTAACCTCGTGTTTTGAATGCTCCGCTTACTTGAGTTAAGCCGCTCCCTTCTGGAACGGTGTTCATTAATCTAACTATTATCTTATTAATTCAATGCTTTGAATACTCCGCATTCTCAAGTTTAAGCATCTCCCTCTGAAACTGTGTTCATTAAACTAATTATCATTCTATGATCTCAGTGTCTTGTAAGTTCGCACTCTTGATAAAATAATGTATATCGTGCAGGTTTCGACGCCGCAATATAAGGAAACACGGATCAAGTCTTGCGCTTCATTTCCACCTCATACTAGTCGCGTGTCGCACAGCTCCCGAACTAAGCTGATTACTTTTAAGGAGCCGTAACAGCTTGGCTCCTAAACAGCAAAGGCTCCAGCTGAGCTGCACCCTTTGTTGTTTAATGCAAAACAGTATGTTTCAGTGAGACACCCTGCAGCTGCTCAGCAATGCAGAAATCAAATCATTCTCTTATTAATGAAAGCCTTTGAGCAGGCACAATTCAGGGACGATGAATTCAATTTCACAAATTTCCCGATACTTTTTTAAACTTTCAACAGATGACAAGACTATTCCTGAATTGAAAAAAACGAATAATGGTTAATTTTTGTGGACTTCGTAGAATCATGTCTCCATCATAAATTCTAATATATTATTTTATGCTATAAGTTATATTCAAAGAAAAAAATTTATGGCAACTGATGACAACACTATTCCTGAATTGAAAAAAGTGATTAATGGTTAATTTTTGTGGACTTCGTGGAATCATGTGTCCATCATAAATTATAATATATTATTTTATGCTTTAAGTTAGTTTCCAAGAAAAAAAATTGATGGCTTGAATAAACATTATGATAACTAGAAGCTGTGAATTTCATTCAGAGCAATTGGAGTTAATGAAATATCAATAAATTTTGTATTCAATTAGATTATTATTTGATTTGAAAGTGAGGTGTATATATCAACACATGTATTATAACGAATATAAGCACAGTGGTAAACATTCCTGGAACTACAGAAGAGAACAAGCAATTATGTGCGAGAAGAACTTGCCTTATGAAGTCAGGGGAGACGATGAGGTCGTCCTCTAAAATGATGACTTTAGAAGCGTTGCTGAAGGTTGAGAAGGCCGTGAATAAAGAGAATTTGAAGTGGGCGTTGAGGGGCGTGCTGGTGCCTGCTTCTCCCTCGTGACG